GGGGCAGGGATGTGAGCTGGTGAGCTGGCCAGAGGAGAGGGGGTTCTGTTCCTTCACCTCTGAGGGGACAGGGGCAGCACTGAATGGCTTTTCCAGGAAACATGTTAAGAAAAAAGTGGGGGGATAACTAGGAAGACAGAGGGGAGAGTGCCTGGTGTAGGGATGTCTGTCCTCCCGAAGGAGAGGCCAGGTTCTTGTCTGAGTGGGGGCCAGCTCTGAGGGCAGGGAGTCGGAGCTCTGACACGCGGGGCTCCAGGCCGCGAGCACTATTTGTAAGGCCTCAGGAAGCTGGAGACTTTAGAGCGCAGCAGCTTGATGAAGGACTTCGGCAGCATCTCCTTGTGTTTCTCCGTGTACTTGAAGTAGTTTTGGGGGTGGGCCAGGACCTCAAAGAAGGCCTTGATCAGCTTCTTGTCCTGCAGAAGACAGCAGGTGGCAGTTGTCAGGCTGACTGACATGCCTAGCAGCCCCTCTTCACGTCTAACGGCACTGCACACTGAGCGTGCGCAGAGGGGACCCCTGGGCTCTTCCTACCATCTGCTCCTTTAGGACTCCACAGCTAGGTTAGTGGCAGCTCTAGTCCTCTGCTCCTCAGGCCCTGGCCTGCAGAGCGATCTGTGAGCCCACCTGCTCAGAGCTACAGCACTGGTGACTCTGCCTGCAGAGCACACCCGGGGTCTGACCAGTCCACGCCATCTCCATGGCTACCACTCTGAGCCAAGCCACCAGAGTTTCTCCCTTGGACTATTTTTTTTTTCTTCGAGACAGGGTTTCTCTGTAGCTCCTGTCTTGGAACGAGCTCTTGTAGACCAGGCTGGCCTTGAACTCACAGAGATCCGCCTGCCTGCCTCTGCTGCTGGGATTAAAGGCTTGCGCCACCACTGCCCGTCTCACTTGGACTATTTCAATAGCTGGGCTACTTCTTTCTTTTGTCTTATACGATACAGAGGGTTGAACCTAGGCCCTCACGGATACTAGGCAAGTATTCTTTTCTCTTCTTCTAGATTTGTTTATGTGGATTTCACCAGTGTGTATGTGCCCTACATGCATGCCTGGTGCTAGAGGAGGTCAGAAGAGGGTGTTGGATTCCCTGGAACCAGAGTTATGGATGGTTGTCAGGCACTGTGTGGGTGCTGGGAACTGCAGGAGTAACTCTCTAGCCCCTAGGTGCGCATTCTACTATTGAGCTACAGCCCCAGGTCTCTCTCTAACTTTTTGAGACAAGGTCTCCCTAAGTTGCTCAGTCTGGTTTTAAACTCACTTTGTAGCCCCAAATGACCTACAATATGCCATCCTCCTGCCTCAGCCTTTTGAATAGCTGGGATTAGAGGCGTGAGTCATGGATCAGATCTCCATGTTTCTGTCCTTGGCCCACCATAGATTATGTAGTCTCCCCACAGAGCTACATAAGGGTGTCTATTTAGTTTACTTCATGTTTGAAACACATTTTGGGTTTCCATTCTCTGGATTTTCTTTCCTGAGACGAAGCCCTGCTACCTTGTATAGGGTAATCTTAAACTCCTGGGTTCAAATGATCCCACACTGGAGCTGCTCCAGTAGCCAGGTCTACAGGCAGGCACCATGCATCTGGTGGAAGTTTCTGTTGACGGCAGACAACAGAAACTGTGGTGCGGGCTGACCCAGGCTTTGGGCCTGGCAAACATTTCTCCACACTCCCAGTGAGAGTCGGGTCCCTTGTGTGGTGTGCTAACTGTGTGTCCTTTGTGTCCAGCTCCTCCTCTGCTCTTCCTCACCACGTGGAACCACAGGGGTCCTATGGTCTCCAAAGACAGCCACTGCTGCCATCCTCACGGTGTGGGATGCTCCTCAGTCACCCTCAGCCCTTTCAAGTCCTTTCCTCACCAGACACCAGGCTGCTTCACGACTCACCAGGAAAAGGCACCGACAACCTCAGTTCAATTCCCAGGACCCACACGGTGGGAGAACCACTCCTCTAAATTGTCCTCTGACCTCCACATGCACACACCCCCAACATACAACACTCATGCCAACAAAACCCACACCGCACCTCCTGGCTTCTAGACTGTACCACAGAGTTCTAAAATAAGAGGAACTTTCAGCCTCTCCACCCCACTTTAATCAGGACAGCTGTGCTATGCTGACTTTTGTTTTGAAACACAGTCTCACTGCGTGACTAGGGTTGGCCTAAAACTCACTGTGTCGACCAGGTTGACCTAGAGCTCACAGAGATCCGCCTGCCTCTGCCTCCCAAGCGCTGGGATCGACGGTGTGTGCCACTGTAAATAGTCCTGTTGCATAGCGCATCGCATGTGCTGTTTGAGATGTTTGTGTGGCCCAGGCTAGTCTTCCACCTCAACTCTGACTAGTTCAAACCATACATGTGCACCCTCACAGCCAGCTACATTTGATTTGAAATAGTGGCTCAGGCCTAGCTAGATGGCTCGGAGGTTAAGGGCATATACTGCTCTTACAGAAGACTGAGTTTAGTTCCCAGCACCCACGCAGGGTGGCTCACAACTACCTGTAACTCCACCTCCAGGGGGATCCTATGCCTCTGGCCAGCCTCCTAGCACACACAGGCACACAGCCACACAAATACCCATAATTAAATATGAAGTAGGGTCTTATTGTGTATCACTGGCTGGTCTAGAACTCCATGTACACACTAGGCTGGCCTCGAACTCACAAAGACCTATCTGCCTATGTCTCCCGAGTGCTGGGACTAAAGGTGAATGCCACCACCACTGGTGACTCCACAGACCCAGCATGTTATTCATTCCTCATTATTAGAAACGTCTCTTTCTAGGTTTATAATCCCAGCACTTAGGAGGTAAAGGCAGGAGGACCTGGTGTTCAAGGCCAGCCTGGACTACATACATAAGACCCTGTCTAAAACAAAACAAAACAAAACATAAAATCATTCTACATTTTATCTCCCCGGCATTCATTCATTCATTCATTCATTTATTGGTTTTTGAGACAGGGTTTCTCTGTGTAGCCTTGGATGTCCTGGAACTCTCTCTATAGACCAGGCTGACCTCGAACTCAGAGATCCACCTGCCTCTGCCTCCCAGGTGCTGGGATTACAGGTGTGCATTACCACCCCCAGCTCCCCTGCATTTCTTGATGGCATAGGTAAAGGACCTTTCTTCTCCTCACCTCTCTAACCTCCCCCAGAGTGTGACACCGTGCGGCGACACTGCAGATCCAGGAGTTGGTCAGAGCCCAGCCTACTACGGGCAAGCCCTTTGGTGCTCTGGGCCTCGGTTCTCTCACCTTGGAACAGGCCTACTACAGGCAGCCTGCTAGCACTCTGGGCCTGGGTTCGCTCCCCTTGGACGTGGCAGTGAAGAGAACACCCACCTCAGAGAGCCAGGGAATAGACGATCATGCTGGTCCTCAGCATGTTGCCTGCACACTGGTGTGTGTGCCCATTTACGTTAGCTGCCGCAGTGAACATTCACTTGCCTTTAGGATCTCTTGGTGGTTTTCAGAGGCGTAGAGCCGGCCATCCCGCACTATGTCTTCCACCAGCTGCTCATAGTCCTCTGTAAAGTCAAGCAGGGTTGGGGCTGAGGATGGGGACTCTTTGCTCCCCTGCTCCCTCACAACCCCAGTCCAGCCCTCCAGCGCTCCTGCCCTCCTGCCCTTGCTCACCATCGTAGGTCACGTAGGGAATTTGGAAGCCACGAGCGCTGTTGGCCTCACTCGTCTTGAAGTTGATCCAGAGTTTCCTGGAACGGGCCGTGAAGGCGATGGGCCGCTCATAGGTCTGGCAGGTCTCGTAAGTGGTGATGGAGGATGGGGAGGCTGGCAAGGCAAGCATCAGGTCAGGAAGTAGTGGGGCTGGGAAGCAGGGCCCAAGTCGTTCCAACAGCAGCTCGCTCCCCCTGACACACGCCTGCACACACCCTCTTCCATTCCACACCCCTGAAACTGCACAGTCACATGGTGAGCACATTTACATGATCACAATGACAGAAAGACCAATGCATTTGGCAGCACTGGCAGCCCAGCCCGGCTTCTCCACGGCTCTCACCAAATCTGTATCAGATTCTGCACCAGCTTCTGGCCCCAAGGCTTCACTCAGGCTTGCCCCCACTGTTCCCAACATCATCACCCCAACCAAATTCCAACTGCCCTTCCCCTCCTCCGAGCCCACTCGGCAGTCACCCACAGTTCTTTCTCATGACGAGAACGTCCCCACACTCATCCTCGGATGGCAGGAAGATCTCGGGGACCACGATGAGGATCTTGCGCTTGGGTGGGGGGTTGATGTTCCAGATGCACTCCACACCTGCCGGGTAGTTGCCCGGGTAGTTGGGAGACTCGATGTAGCCAGTGAACTCACCTAGCTCCCCACCACATTGCCGATCTGCAGCCATACCCCAGGGACAGAGCAAGATAACAATGGAAAGTCAGTGGGGAACCACGTTGAGCAAGCTGAAGAGTTAGAAGGTGGAGGACAGATACATAAGGTAGCCACCATGCCAGTTCACCCTCCTTGCTGCCTGCCCACCCACCCACCAGTCCAGCTTCCTGCTGGTTTATGTCTCCACCCCTTATCCTGTGCCCATGGCTTCGAGATCTCTCTCCACTTCCCACATACTCTTGCACTGGGCCACACTGGTAGAGCCATCAAAGTCAGTGCTTGTATTTCCTGGGCAGCGGGTGCAGAAGTTCTGGCGGAAGTGTGGCTGGTAGGAGCCCATGGCACAGCGGATACAGCGATGGGTGCTGGTGTTGTAGTAGTGGCCTGGGGAGCACTGGACTGCAGGCAGGAGGGAAGAAGGCATGCACTAAGACGGATGGTAGGGAAGTGGGCATCTGGGCCATGGATGGGCAGAATACATTCATCATGGAGACTCAGGGACCAAAGACTCCCAAGTTTCTTCCAGGGTCCTACCTTTCCCAGCCAGGCAATAATTTAAGGCCAGGGAAGAGACTTTCCCAAGTGGCTGGCTCAGGCACCAGGCCTTCTCCTGCAGGCACTGGGCAGTGCCTGATACTGGAGCTCACTGGGGGTGAGGGGTGTGTCCACCCAATCTCAAAGCAGTCTGATAGTGGGATTACTAGTTACTTTGTATCCCCAGGCTCGGCCCCAAGATGGCTTCTGAGACCAAGACGCTGTTTGGTTAGGCAGCTGGGGCGTCCTCACTTATCCAGGAATATGATGGAATGACATACTCAGGGCTGCCCAGGGGACACAGACAGTGTTGGAGGGCAATTCCTCAACTGCCAGAGAGAAGTTAAGTAACCTACTCACCCTTGGTGTCACAGTCCTGGAAGGAGACTGCCCCCTCATGCTTGGTAGTGAGGCCTCCACCACAGGGGAAGCACAGGGTTCGTCCTGCTTCCGGCTGATAGGTGCCCCGTGGGCATGGCTGGCAGGGTTTGAACCCATCTACTGAATGTTGGCCAGGTGGGCACTGACCTGCAATAGGGCAGGGCCCAACTCTGATGGGGTTGTTCCCAAGTCACTCCATAGGGTCACCCCAGTCTTAGGGAACAGAAGCATATGAACAGGACCTCAACTAGGAGAGTGGTCTGGAGCCTGGACCTGCCCTTTAGAAAATCCCATGCCCATGGCCGTCCCAGTGCCCACCCTAGCCCAGTCTGTGTTATTTGTTCCCCTGGCACCTGCACATGTGGTGACGTTGGTGGCTCCAAGAGGCCCATGGGCATCACTCCCAGGGCAAAGGTCGCAGGAGAGCTGCCCTTCCCTCTCCTGGAAGGTGCCTGCTGGGCATGGCACACACTGCTCCGTCTGGCCGTGGTAATACGTTCCCTGCGGGCAGCTGACTGAGGGAGAGTCGGCCGCGCTAGCCACCCCCCATCTCCCACCACCCAGGCCTAAGACTCCCCTTCCCACTCTTCCAGATACGGGGAGAATCTGTCAGGGAACTAACAGAATCCTGCTTAGTGATGGGGAGGTTAAATCTGTGTGCAGGAGGCTGCTGGCCCTGCCTGGGGTCCTAGATTTCAGCCTGGGACCAGGGAAGGGAGGACAGTGGTCAGAAAAGTTTTCGCTTCCTCACAGTTTTAAGAACTGTACCTGAGGCAAAGGGTCCTGTTCTGCTCTGAGCCAGGGCCAAGTTGGGGCTCCCCCACTCCCCACGCCCATGACTTCCCAGAAAGCTCTCTTACCACACTTGGTGCCTGCCCGGTGCTGCCCAGGCCTGCAGACCTCCGCCAGCTCTGCTCGGTCCCCAGCTACCTGGCCTGGCTTGTGGGCAAGCTCATAGTCAAGGCCTGCCAGACGCAGCAGGAATCGGTCCTGGTTGATGGACTTTCTGAGCATCTTCAGGGACCCTTTCAGTCTTCGCTCCATCCTCTGCCGGAGGCAAGGCAGCCCGCAGCCAGCTGGTAAGGGATGGTCCAGGAATCGGAAAGAGTGGAGAGAGTGGTCAGCACAGAAGGCGGGAGCCACGGCAGCAGGTGACACAGGCCGAAAGGACAGGTGCCCTCCTCTCTGGTCCTCTACCCGACAGTGTCCACAGGCCCACCTGTTGTTTCTTCTGCCCTGACCTCGGCCTCTAATTCCAGGGTGAGCCGGGTAACCTCCTTGCCAGGAGTCCGGGCCCGTCGGCCCTTGCCTTTCCGAGAAGAGTCGCACTTAAGGTGGATGAAGGTGACTTGGCAGTCGGAGCAAGTGGCGCCACCTAGAAACAGAGGCCTTGTCAACTTCAAACTGAGGGCTCCCACTGGAGATGGAGCTCTCTGTTCTTGCTCTCACTTCCCCATCAAGCCCGGCATCCCTCTCGCTCCTTGTCTAGTTTACTCAGTGACAGGGAATGATGAGGACTGCTCAGGCCTTAGCCTACAACAGCTGCCCCCTCTTCTGTCAGGGTACAGGTGAATGGCTGGACAGGACCAGATGGGGAGGGCTGAGGGGCTTGGTGGAACCCATTGGAGTGAGGTTCAGACCTGGCCCTGGGATTCTGCTGGCTTCCTCCACTTTGCCTTTATTTCGCAGATGCAAACGGCATTTCGCGTCCTTGATCTTGAAGGAGGCCCGCTGCTTAACGGACAGGGCTGCAGCCTCTGGAGGGGTGGGGAAAGCTCAGCACAGCCTGGGGGCTGGGGCTGGGGTGAGGCTGCTGTTGGAGGTGGTTCAAAGCTGGGCTATAGTCAAGTTTAGCTGGGAGCAGGACCGTGAAAGCCAGGGGCATCAGAGAGGAGGGCTTCTGGGGGCTTCTGGGCAGGCGCTCACCATGGCAGTAGTTTGAGGCGGTGCTGTTTCCAGGATGGGTGCCTCGGGCTGCAGCAGCTTTAAGGCTGGGGGTACCACAGCTCACGGTGAAACCATTCTCGGACTCTGAGAGAAGGGGCCTATCACAGTTCTGACCTGACCCCCCCCCCAACCTCCAATGGTTGGAGGAATCCCAGGGGATGGAGGAGTGCTGGACAGCCAGCTTCTCCCCCAAGCTCTCCAACCCCCTCTTCCCACATACCTGGCAAAAACCGGGCCCGGGAAGGGCAGGTCAGGGCACAAGTGTCCTTCTTGCCAGACCGACTGCAGCTGAGCATGGCTTTGGAGGCCCCAGGACTGCTCTGACAGGTCACTGGCTCTAGGAAGGGGACTAGGGCCTGAGGATATGGAACATGCCTTGCCCACCTTCTCATATGGCTAATTCAGAAAAATATTATCTATGTGCAGAACTACAGACGTGCCCAAGGAGACTGGGCACTTCTGAACCAGGAATGGCGTGCCTAACCCAACCGGCTACACCCCCAACCCTTGTCCCCCTCACATCTTCCCACCAGTTCCCCAGCTTTCCCTGAAATGCCATTTCCGGGTCTGGCCAGCAGAGGGCGCCACACACCTGTGCAATCCTTCCCGTTCCAGTGAAGGCGGCCCTGGCCTGCTGGGCAGGTACACTGATAGCTGCCGGGGGTGTTGATGCAGCCAAAGCGGCAGCCTCCCTTATTGACGCTGCATTCGTCCACATCTGTGGGGGGAGCAGGGAAACAGACTGGCAGTGGTGGTGGAGGGGTCGGACCGCAAGTGAGGACCTTAGGTAACTGTCCAGCTACACTGAGTGATGAGGGAGTGCCTTCTAGAGATCTGCTGTGCATTTCCGGATCTCTCAGGTGGCAGCGTTCACATCAAACATTCACAGAGATAGATAGTAAAGGGCTCTCTGGCCTGCGGGGAGCGCAAACCTCTTCCTATTCTCTCTATCCCCGGTTAAAGACACCATTGAGCGGGTGCCAACTTGACCAGCATCTCTTACCCTCTCACTGGGTAATAGCCATAGGGAGGGAGGGTAGAATTTAGGAGGCAGAGTCTGGGCACGGTAGTGCACCGCCTGCAGGCTCAAACCCTTGGAAAGTGAAGGCAGAGAATCAGGAGTTCAGGGTCACCTCTGGCTACATAATGTGTTCAAGGCCAGCCTAGGGGTCACAAAACCCTCACATAATCACCCTGCTGGCAGATACTGCTCCCCGGTGCCTGTCTGCTAGCTGGCCTTGGGGTGTCAGATGCAGACATGATACATGCACCCAGGGATTTATTACCCCAAGCCAGCACTGGGTTATCAAGACTTTTGGAGGGTGGAAAGGTGAGGGACCGAGGTGGCTGGGAAGCAGGAGGGTATGAGCTTGCTGGCTTACCCCCACAATGAGTGACACCATACAGCAGGTAGCCGCGGTGACAGAGACACTGGAAGCTTCCTGGTGTGTTGACACACATGTGGTCACAAGTTCGATCAAAGGAGCACTCGTCTATGTCTGGAAGAGCGAGGGTTTGAGATCCTGAGTCTTTGTCTGCCCCGTGTGCAGGGGATGGACTTTAGAGCTGAAAGAGACCCTGGACTGCCCCCAGATCTGCGACTGAGCAGGGCCAACTCCCTCTGTGCACCGTGCTTGGAGTTTCTGTTCGGGTCTAGAACCTGTGGGTCATGACCTAGCTGCAGCAGGCCACACCTGGAAGAATCGGGACAGCGGAGAAGGAAGGAGCACCCTTGGCTGTGGCTAACACTGCCTGTATATGCTCCTGTGTCCACGGGTGGTTTCCACCCCACCATCCCAGAAGCTCTCCCAACCGAGAGCCTCTCCAGAAGAGTCCCCTAAGCCTGCTCACCCTGGCAGCTCCTCTCGTTGATGAGAAGCTTGTAGCCCTTCTTGCAGCTGCACTCGAAGCTGCCCACTGTGTTGCGGCAGATGTGGTCACAGCCCCCATTGTTTAAACGGCACTCGTCGATGTCTGGGGGAGCAGACAAAACACAATGAAGGACAATACTGAAGGCCAGGAGCAAACAGGAGACAAGAGCTCTTCCTCGAAGAGACAAGGAAAGTCAAGGAGGGGCCTGGTCTGTCCCTGTTAACTTGGCTGTCACCCTCTGTTCTCATGTCTTCCCTGTCCGGGATATCTGGCCATGGTAGCACCTTTTTTTTTTTTTTTTTTTTTTTTTTTTTTCCTGAGGCTGAGTCCAGGAACCACCTAGGTCAGCAATGGACAACTCTCTGGAGTTAGGGGAACAGGAGGCCATTTGAACTCTGGGCTGGTCCACATCCCGTACTCTCCAGATGATGACCATCCCCGGGACAGTAACAGGGCTCTCCTTTCGTAATGCTGACTTCTGTCACACAGCCTGGGTCAGGAGGGCTGAGCCGGGACCCTGGTTATATGGAGAGCCTAGAGGGACTTGCTGGAAAGGGGCAACGTCAGGGAGGAGGAACTGGCAATGACGCTAGGTCGTAAGGACTTTCAAGAGCGAGAGAGGCTGAGAAGAGGAGCAGGAGTGGGGCCAGGCAGGGGACTGGACCGGAGCGGTCTGGAGAAACTCAGAGCCTGGCAGTGTCGGGTACTAGAGAGAAAGGGGCGGGTGAGCAGCTTCCTTCCTGAGGTCAAGTTGCCTAGCTGGTGGCAGACAGGACCCAGGCTACTCACCACTTCTGGAGGGGAGGGGGCGGGACTTCGCTCGGCAGGCCTACCTGTCAACAGTCCTGCCCAGCAGGAAACCTCGAGTGCGGCTGGCTGACCTGCTGCCCCAGCCCTCCCCCTCCTGCAGCTGCTGGGCCAAAAGACACAAAGAAGGAGCCGGCCCTATTTCCCGGTCCCCACTTCTCATGACCAGGAGACAGACGTGATGAGTCATCACTTTCTAAATGGCCTCCCTCCCCCTCTCTCCCTCATGGTCCACACATCCAGCGAACTAGAAGGAGGGGAGCAGAATGGCTAGTGTGGGAACTTAAACCATAAAGACAGCCAAGCCCAAGTCCCCACGTGCCAATCCTTCTCATTTGTATACAGTTCATCCATCCCCACAGCACATCTATGAGCTAGGGCCAATGTGGAGAGCCGGGGCACAGTATCCTGGAGTAACCAGCCAGGGAGCCCTTGGAGCTGGGCTCAGAACTGGCAGCCAGGCTCTCTTTGGTGCTTCTGACTCTCCCTAGTATAGTCTTTCTAAGAGATCCTTCCAGAGCCACTGGGAAGACCTGAGGAATGCAGGTCCAAAACATGAAAGCCACCCATGACCTCAGGCAGAGTCGGCTCAGATGTCCTTCCAGCTCAGGGATGGCCATGCTCATTCAGGGCAAGGAACCTTCTCCCCAGCACAGGACAGGACGGGGGTGAGAGCAGGAACAAGGGAGGCTGGGCCCAGAAGGCAACAAAGTGCTAGCTGGACTTTTGTGCCCCTAGCTAGATTTGTTCCCCTTGAACTGAGATGGGAGAGGCAGACAGGAGCCGCCCCTTAGCTTTGTCCCAGGGCCTTTGGGAGAAGGGAGTTGTGGCTCTGTAAGAGCTAAATCTCAACCCCACCTCATCCTGGCGGAGGCTGCCCTGTTCCAGCGCTCTCTGAGGTCTCTCACCTTTGCAGGTCTTTCTGTCTGGCTGCAGCATGAAGCCCACAGGGCAGCTGCAGTGGACCCCGGTTGCGGCGTCGTGGCATTTACTGTCGCAGCCCCCATTGTTGACGGCACAGGTCTCTGTGGAGGGAGATGTGGGTAGCAATGGGGTTACTGGTCTATAATGCCAGACTCAGGTAGCAGGGCCTGAGGGAAGGCCTCAGCCACCTCACCTGAGGTCAGCAGGAGCATTAAGCAGAAGCCCCAGGCTCCAGCCTCCCCTTCCTCCCGAGGCCCAGCCCCTCAGGAGTGCCGAGCGAGCAGCGCTCCACATCCCTGCCCCTACTTGATTGCAACAAGGAGGACAGCAGCGAGGCAGGTACGAGCCGGAGCTGTCAGGCAGGAATGTGCTGAGGGGGTGGGGGTGGGGAGGCAGGAGAGATGAAAGCTAAGGGAGAGCTCGGCCTGCCTGGGAACAGAAGGGGCAGACCAGTCTCTTCCCATCCTGGGGGTGGGGGGGGTTCATGGTGGACAGTCTCCTAAGAGGTTTGGTGGGAAGAGGGTCTCAAGACACAGATGGCTGCCCACTGATTCATCCCCCTCCCTGATACTGCGAACCTGACAGAGGAGATAGCCAAGCTGGGCCATCCACCTTTACCTCCTCCCAGACCTTCCTGTCCCCCCCCCCCGGAAAAAAGCAGGCTCTCTGGTCCTTCTGTTTTACTGATGAGATAATGTGCACGCATGGGAGGGGCTCGAGGGAAGAAGAATCCAGAGAGGGAAGGTAGAAGCCACACAGAAGAGAGTTCAGAGCCTTGTTGTGCTCAGGCGAGATTTCCTGAGCCTGCTGAGAGGCAGGGCAGAAGGGAAACAGACTCAAACAGCTGCTTTGGAAAGGAGGTCCGAAAGAAAGCCATCAGCCCCAGTAGTGCCAGAACACGCATGAGGACCTGGAGTGATGTGGCCTGTCCTAGAGGCACCAAGCATCCTCCCGTTAGTATCTCAAGGTCTCCGTGACACAAGAGAAAACTACTCTCAGGATATCAGGTTCACCCTTGTCACCAAAGAGGGCAGCGTGCCAGGGCTCCAAAAGAAGCCTGCTTCTGCCTGGGAGTCCCTGACATGTCCTGATCTGGAAGCAACCACAGTGGGCTCTCCTCTCGTTGTGGTCTGAGGCCGCCCAGACCATGAGGAACTGAAGTCCAGTCTCCCCAGAAGTGCTCAAAGTATGGAAAGAGGGCCCCCAAGGCCTGGACAAGATCCTGTCTGTGTGTAGATCCTCCGGAGGACCCAGGATGGGCACAGAACTGGCACGGTGCCTATGCCAGGCTGGACCAAGAAGCTGGACAGAGTTGTCCACCTCTGCAGGACAGTTGCTCAGAGCAGGGAGGGCGGCAGGAGGACATAGCTTGCCCTGTCCTTGGTGCAAGGCACTGACCACATGCTGTCCTGATCATCACACCCACGGGAGGACCATCACTGCCCCCTTCTGAAGAAGAGTGAGTTGAGGGCCAGAGAAGATGGGGCTCACTCGAGACTGGCTGGTGAGAACATGGCAGAGCCAGGATCCAAACTCAGGTCAGGCAGAGATCAGCAGCTGCTGTCAGTGGTGTACTGAGAGTAGGAACCCAAGTAGGATAACCCACAGAGGGGATGGCATCCAACTCTGATGCCCCTTATCTCAGTGGCTTAATGGAAACGACAGGGAAGGTGGCACTGGCTAAGACTTTAGATGCAGTGACGGGCGGGGGAGGGGTGCTGATGACTGGGAAGGGGGTAAGGTGTTAGAAGGTGGTATAGGAAGAGGAAACAGAAGAGGAAGGAGGGGAACCAGGAAGACATCAGCATGAAGGTTCACAGGCCAGCTTTGAGGAGCTCGCATTTCTTACCACCTGATGGGTCTAGTGCCCACACTACCAGGGGAAGCCCTGCTGGGCATGCAGTTAGTGGGAGCCCCAGCGGGTTAGCCCTTCCCTAGCAAGCCAGTGAGAGCAAGCGGAGAGCAGACATATTTACCATTAGAAACGGCCTGAGTGGGCATGTGCTGCTCTAGCCGCCTTTCCCCTGTTTGTAAAAAAGCTGTTTAGATCTGGGGCAGGCGCCACTGTAGCCCACTGGGCCCCAGGCCCACCCTGGACCCTCCACCCAAAGGTCCAAACCACTAACCCCACATGGTGATTCCTGGGGCCCCAGATTAGCCTCATTCCCCAGCCTCGTCCTGCCTGGTACCCTCAAAGAAATCAAGCCCCCATCAAGAAACTATAAAACAGAGGTTCTGAGTCTCGGGAGAACAGCGATGGGCAGCCCCACACAGCATGTCAGAGGCAAAGCTGGCATGAGATGTCAAGGCTTGCACTCAGCCACCTCCCAAATCCCTTCTGCTTTAACTACACTCCCAGTCTCCCCACTCTGAGCGTCCTGGTAAACCCGGTGACATTTCCTCCCAAGACAAGTAAGCTCATCTCCCTCAGAGCAGGGGGAGAGGGATGGGAAGAGGGATGGGGAGAAACAGCCTCGCTTGCTCTGTCCTGCTTCGCGGCTGCTGCTGCCCAGGTGGTGCAGTGCGTCTCGGGTTAGAGAGGTCAAGCTTGACAACGGCATTTTCAAAAAGCAGCCATGTTTGAGAACATTCGAACAGAAACCTAAGAAGGAGCCCTGCCTCTTCCCCATGGGACCTCTGTCTTTCTCCCTAGGGACCAATGCGGTTTCTTCTGGAAGAATCTGGGGGTATGTGGGTGTGTCCAAAGGGTGGTGGGAGGTTTTCAAAGCAGACAAATTAGCCCTATAAGGAGAATATGAAAGGAGCTGGAATAACCCAGCCGGAGAAGGCATTAGGAAGACCTGAACCTGTTTTAGGGTTTTTGAAGAGTTGGGGGGCGGGGAGCTAGAGCAGGAAAGCTTTCCATTAGAGCAGCACTTTTGATTCACATGTTTCTCGAGCAGGTGCCGGGAACCTGTGTGAGCCCACCTGCTCCCCTGTCCTGTGGCTGAAGTGAGGACAGGGGCAACGGACCGAGCGGTCCTAACCTCAATCTGTCTTGAACACACAGGACTTCACAGAGCCACCGCTCTCACCTTTTCCCTCCCCCACTCCTGTCTTTTACAGCCCACCAGACGGACAGCTCTCCATAAGTGCCCATGCCCACAGAGCAGGTATGCCTCTCCATGCCTGGCTGGAGACCCTGCCTCAACTCTAGCCAAAGCCTTCCCTTTAATTTCCCACTTCTCCAAGGGGACACACTGTCCAGGCATCTCGCCACTGAAGAAATGGCAATGGAGGGAACCCAAAAGGTAACTTGAAGGAATTAGCTCATCCAGGGTATGTGGAGGCCCTGGTCAGGCGTAGGAGTTCAGGAGATGGGTTTCAGGCAGCGGCAGGGTGGAGGGCTGTAGCAGCTGAGGGGTGCCGGCAGCCACAGGCTTCAGTGGTCGCGGAGTGGGAGGTGAGCCTGGGGGCATCAGGTGAGGGGCAGGAAAGGGATGGAGTTGCAGGGGTAGAGAGGAAGAAGTGGCTGGAGTCACCCTACTTGTCAGCCCGCGACTGGCTGCTCTAGGGACAAGCAGGAGGTCCTAGCCTGTTCCACAGTGGGGACACCTGCCTGTCCCAGTCCCCACCTCCCCACACTGACCACCCCAGAGTTCCTCAAGACATCCCTGCAGTCTCGTTGACCAGCACTTCTGCTAATGGGTCCCAATTTGGCAATGTTACAGCCTGGGAGGGAGAGGAGGGCGGGACTCCTGGAGAGGGTGGAGGGTCGAGTGTGCCTTTTAGTCTCCTGGAGCCCCGTCCCTTACTAGACCTGCCGTCACATGGGTCGCCATCCCTCAGCAGTTACTAGGTCCGGCACCTAGACCCCCAAAGCCCCCAGTCCCTGCACCTGCCCCGTCACAAGTGTTGAGTTGCTCCCTGGCTTCACCCACCGATGCATGTCTTCCCGTCAGTATGGAGCACAAACTTGACATGGCAGCCGCACCGGGGACCCTGCTCGGTGTCATCACACGTGTGCTGGCAGCCACCGTTACCATAGTTGCAGGTCACTGTGCAGAGAGGGAGGAGACCTGTCAGCCTGCTTTCCCCTCCTGCTGCAGGTCAGCAGGGCTGGTTCCTCACTGTGTCCCTCCATGCCTCCCCCTCCTCTGCCTCTTTCCTCCTGGCCCTGCTCTTTGGCTACTGAGCACCACATCGCCCTGTCCCTCACGCCCCTGCCCTCATAGGTCTCACATTTACAGTCCCGTTGGTTCTTGGTGAGCTCGAAGCCAGGGCGGCATTCACAGGCAATGCCCCCCTTGGGAGTCTCCCGGCAGATGTGGGCACAGCCATGGTTCTTGTTCATGCAGTTCATTCCTTCTGCAAAGGGAAGAGGAGAGCCTGGTGCTCCAGCTGCACCCGGAGGCCGCAGGGGGCGGGGCCAGCTGGGGTTAAGGACACTGAGGGTCAGCCCAAATCCAGAGCTGCTCAGGATTTAGGAATGACCCAGGAAAATCTAAACCAGGACCTCTTTGCTCAAAGAGCTTACACCGGGACTAGAAACCTGAAGATAAGTAGCAATCAGACTGACAGAGCGGGAAATAACTAGTGTAGGTAATCACTAGGCCACTTTTTCGGGGAGGTAGAGGGAGACACGGTTTCTCTGTGTAGCCCTGGCTGTCCTGGAACTCACTCTGTAAACTAGGCTGGCCTCAAACTCAGAGATCCACCTGTCTCTGCCTGCCGAGCGCTGGGCTTAGAGGTGTGCGCCACCAGGCCTGGCTACGGCACGAGTATTAAGTTCCCCCCACAGGCAGGGCAGCAGACTGGGTGATGGGACACAAAGCAGACCAGACAGAACTACTGCCCTCGGGACATCACATCCCAGTGCAGGAAAGAGCAGGCGGCACACACCCCAGGCTCCCTCTGACAACCTGCTCGATCCAAGTCATAGACAGGGACATTGGTGGGGCTGTCCCTGGAGTGGCAGAGCACAGACAAATGCCACCAACAGGAATCCACATCACAGCCGGGCCAGAGAATGCCCCAAAGTAACCTCGGTTCCAGGCAATGGCCCGATCCCAGATTTATCCCCTAGATTTTTTTCTGTGTGTGGAGCCCTTAGGCTGTGACTACATTAAGAAATTAGAGAGGAATCTAGAAGGTAGGACATGGAGTGTAGAGGGAAAGCAGGGCAGAGAAGCCTGGGGGCCTCCCAGGCCATGGGCTGACCTTCTGGCCGTTGGATGCAGGTATGCTGGTTGTCGCTGAGGAAGAAGCCTTCTCGGCAGTGGCATTCGTAGCTGCCCATCATGTTGACACAGCTCTGTTGACAGCCACCGTTACCCTCGGCACACTCATCTACATCTGTGCAAGAAGGTGATTGGTGGGGCTGTGGCGGCGGCACCAGAGACCGGGCAGACCGAGCCCAGCCCCAAACACACACGAGTCACTTTAGCAAGCAGTCCTGTACTTGTGAAGAGGAACGTAGAGCAGAGCTCAGGTAGGGTGGGGAGCACCCAACCTGGCTAGCCTAGGTGAGATCCCTCCCCCTACAGGTAGAGACCGGAGAGACGACAGCTCAGCAATGAGACCCCAATTCTAGTCCCAGTCCCCACATGGCGGCTAACTGCCTCTAACTCCAGTCCCGGGGGACCTAGTGTCCTCTTCTGGCACCTCAGGCATGCGGTACACAAAACATACATGCCTGCACACATAAAATCTCAATAAAGTCAGTAAAAACCCTGGGCCCGAGTGCGGAGGTCAGAAGGGAAGCCAGGGTGAGAGGAACATCGCTGAAGACAAGGGTGGAGATTAGTCACACGGGCTGGCAGTGGTGGACCCAGGAGATCAGGGACCCTGGAATTGGCTCTGTCCTCAGACAGCAGTATGGCTGTGGTGCCGACAATGGCGGGAATGACAGCTGAGTCACAAGTCATCATGAGGCAAGGACCATTTCTGTGGACCGGCCACAACCTCCGCCTTTCTCCCCTCCCTCCGGGCCTGGGCTCCTTGCCACAGTCCCGAGCTTTTCTCCTATTTTGGTTTAACAAAACAGAGCCTGGCAGTGGGTATGGAAGGGTGGGGAAGGTGACCAGGCCACACCCTGAATGGTGGGGGAGGAACAATGGGATGTCACCAAGTCACCAGCCCGAGAACCAAGCTCACTTCTGTATCTTGACTCCATCTCTATGTTGACTACTGCCCACCCATTCTCTGCTTCTCCCTGGGGAAACTGAGGCCCACCACATGGACAGTTTTCTCAAGGATTCCCTAAGAGTTAAAGAGATGGTTGAGGCTTTAAATTCACACCTTACAGAGACTGTTGTATCTCTGACCCTCTCAGTACCTTCAATCTCTCTCTCATCTCTATGGTTAGTTCTTGGTGAGAAGTGGGGTTAGAAAGACCCAACAGAAGCCAAAGACCTGGAGCTGATATTCACAGTCCCATGGCTACCTCTATTCTGTACCCAGTGTTTCATTTCTTGTCCCTAAGGAGTTGGAGACAGGGCCGAGAAGGCCCCTTCTCCAGTGGCAGAGGGGATGGGGAAGACAGCCACTGGGAAGGGTCTGCCAGGGACCCGGGTAGAAGGGTGGCAGCGATGGTCACGTGCCCCTCTGCAGTAAGGGGGTCCTAGACCGTGAGGCATCTGACGCCCTAACCCTAACCCACTGCTCATTCCTTTGCCGAGTCTCTCTTCTGCCAGAACCAAAGAGAAGGTTGAGAGAATTTCAAATCTCAAATCTTGTTGTACACTTCAGACTTTCTACTTAAGGGGACCTCTCACTTGGTCTGACTGACTCTCAAAAACGACAGACTAAAGCTGAATTAAGTGGCCCAGGGATCCCATCTGTATCGGAGCTCTGGGGACGCGGGACATCAGGCAGACTGAGGCTCAGAACTGGGATAGGTGAGACTGAAGACAGGAAGGCTGGAGACAAAACTAGCCACGAGGAGCAGAGGCTTCCAGGGCCCCAAGGAGCGCCATCTGCAGCAGTAACAATGCTCCTGTCCGTGTAGAACCCGCTCGTGCTAAAGCTGCAAACGGGCTTTTCTACACAGGTTCTCGTGATTAGCCCCCACCCCACCCCACGAGCAGCCTCTAAGAAGGGTACTAACACACTTTATGGACGAGAGATCTAAGATTCCCAAAGCCTAGTTCATTTGCCCAACGTCCCGCAGGTTCTAAGTGGCCGACACAGGGCTCGTCTGAAGCTAATTCACCCCCCACACGGAGTTAAGCCCACCATTCTCATCGCCTCTCTAGTACTTTCTGGCCAGCAGCAGCACCCCAGTCCTCACGTGCCTGACTCACAGGGGAGGCTGCCCATGCTCCCTTGAAAGAATTCAGCTCTTTCTGGCCCCTTTTCCTCTTTCCCTACCAAATGAGCGCCACGCCCCCCTTGCTCACCCAGACAGTTGTGTCCGTCATGTGCCAGGTGGAAGCCGTCGTAGCAGGTACACCGGTAATTGCCAGGGATATTAACACAGTCATGCACACAGCCTGCATTATCCTCCCGTTCACACTCATCCACGTCTGTGCACAGAGAGAAAGCAGGCTGGAGATGCTGAAGGTCACATACAAACAGCTACGCCATTTTACTTTTATATTTTAACTATGCCATTTTATATAGAGACTTTGAACATTTTTTTTTAACTGTGGTACTGCTGGGAGGGGGGTGTCATCCTTGAACCAACACTCCTCAGGTCCTAGGGGCAGCAAGAAGTATGGCGGACCTTGTCCACTGGTCATACACTGAGAACAATAATCCTAAGCTACTTGGCAGTGTCTTAATTAGGGCAGAAGATATGCTTGTTTGTGAGTGAACTCCCACTGGAGAACACCAGTCCCATCCCGTGAGCACCATCTGAAGGGTACAAGAAGAGGTTGAGGCTTCAGGGATCTTCAGGCCTTAGTTCTGTGCCTGAGGTGTGAGCACTCCAGTCAGCTATGTGGGTATAGGTTAGGGAGTGCTCCCACCAGTGCTCCAGTCAGCTATGTGGGTATAGGTTAGGGAGTGTTCCCACCAGTGCTCCAGCTGATCTGTGCAATGCTTTGATGCACACCAGGACACCCTGCTGTCTGGGAAGAGGCGGCTGCCCTCCTGGGCCTGTAGAGGCTGCAGGTGTTGGGAACTGTGACGCATCCCTGAGGCAACAGCGTTGGTTCCCACTCTCCCGCAGGTGCCCCCCACCCAGTCTCACCTTTGCAGTGTTTGCCGTCCCCGGTGTAGCCGGACTTGCAGATGCACTTATACGACCGTGGTGTGTTCTGGCAGATGGCATCGATGTGGCAATGGTCAGTCCCTTCCACACATTCATCCACATCTGGCAGGGGCAGAGGAGGACATGTGAGAACCACCACGCCCCCAAGTCAGAGTCCCCTCTTCAAGACAGAGCCAGTGCACCCGAGGTCCTCACATTCCTCTGGTCCTTCCAGGGAGTCACAATGAACCCTTACTGTCTCCAAGATATTTAAACTACAGTGACACCTCAGCTACTCTGAGACACTCGATGTGTTAGACACAGTGTGGATTAGTTTATCTTTCATAGCAGCAAGCTTAGAGCGAGGGAGGGACAGGCATGGAGTCACTGGTCTCTTAAAAGGTGGCCATGTCCAGTTGCTGATAAGTTTTTTTTAGAAAGGGACACCTGTGGTCTAGCCTGGTCTAGAACTCATTACATAGCTAAGGGTTGCTTTTAATGCCTGATCCTCCTGCCTCCCTCTCTCCCAAATGCCGGGACTACAGGCATGAACCACCATGCCCAGCTGATCACTAGTAATTAAGGAAGAGAAGGAGACGGGGCATATGTGGGATCTTCATCTGACTCACAGTCCACTGTAGAACAGACTTGCCCTATTGGGTACAGCGGCACATACCAGTGACCCCGGCACTTGGAAACTGAGGCGGAAGGATCAGGAGTTCCAGGTTAGATAGTAAGACAATCTCTCAAAAACCCAGACAAAAGATCAAGCCTGCTCTTACTTGTTCAGCATGGTACCAAGCAGCTTTAGAGGAACAGAGTTCCATGGAAGATTTTCCTTGACCCCTGAGCTAGCAGCAGAAGGGCCAGGAGCTGACAGGGGTCGGCCCCGCCATCTGAAGCTTGGTGAGCACAGTTCTCGGAGCTCTCCCATTGACCAGGCAGCGCCCCTGCCCTCAGTTCTGGATCTTTTTGCTCCAATGCTAATGCTCCCTCTAATAGGCACGACACTAAGGGAAGTGGCCTCCCCCGCACAGTGGCAAAAAACGAAGGTGATTAAGAAAAGACCTCTGTTGGGAGGCAGAGGCAGGTGAATCTCTCTGAGTTCAAGGCCAGCCTGCTCTACAAGAGCTAGCTCCAGTACAGGTTCCAAAGCTACAGAGAAACTGTCTCGAAAAAAACCAAAACCAAAAAAAGAAGAAAGAAAGAGAAAGAAAAAGAAAAGAAAGAAAGAAAGAAAGAAAAGAAAGAAAGAAAGAAAGAAAGAAAGAAAGAAAGAAAGAAAGAAAGAGAACCAATGGATGGATGGACCTCTGGCCAGGCCATGGTGGCGCACACCTTTAATCCCAGCACCCAGCACTTGGAAGGTAGAGACAGGCGGATCTCTGTGAGTTCAAGGCCAGCCTGGTCTACAAAGCAAGTTCCAGGACAGCCAGGACTGTTACACAGAGAAACTCTGTCTCAAAAAGCCAAAATAAATAAAATAAAGAACCTTGGGAAGTCAGAGACAACATCATAAAGTTGAAGTGATGTTGAGGAGGAGGGTGGTTCATTCAGCAGGAAAGGGCTTTGCTGGGGCAGTCGTTACATTCAGAACATACAGGCCATTTAGCCCAGTCAGGACAGACCAATGACAGGAAGCAGGAGCAGGTAGGGGCCATGAGACACTGGGCATGAGGAGGTCCTCCTCTCAGCAGCTCCCCGCAAAATGCCCAAGGCCCCAAAGTCTGAAGTCATCAAGTCTGGGCTGGGGCCTGGCAATCCGTAACTTTCAAAAGCTTCCAGATGATTCTAACAAGCAACTAGGGTTAAGAGCCCTGTCACAGTCTGAGGAGGAAGAGGCCATGCCCACCTATGAACTAGAGAAAAGTATACAAAGTTTCCAAAGAGTATCTGACTAGACGCCTGCCCCTAACGGAGTGGGGCTTGAGAGCAGGCGGGTAAGACTCCTGAGCTGCCAAGTGGGTTTTGTTAGAATGGAGGCTCTCAGCCCTCGCCAGATCCAGCGAACCCAGCTCAAGGCACGTCCTGGAGTTTCTGACTAGGCAGAGCACACTGTGCACCGGCAGTTCCTGTAGTTTGCTGACACTCAGAAGCCTGAAGCAGCCGTTCGTCCTCTGTTCTGAGGCTTCCAGAAGCACTGGGGGCAGGGCTGAGGTACCGTGGGGCTGGGACTTGCAAAGGGAACCCCTCACATCCTGCCTGCCTTGGCTCTTCGGGCTCCACTCAGCTCTGCTCATGACCCCTCGGCTCTTCTGTGTTGTCGCCGGCCGTCCTGTCCACACTTATTGCCCACCTCACCCAAGCTCAGCAGTCACGTGCCTGCCAGCCGATCACCACAGAGTGAAAAGATGGAGATTGAGTTCATAAATCAAGTGCGAGTGACCTTGTGAATGGCAAGAGGCTGTCGGAGAACCTGTCTGTCCGACTGATACAGTGGATGCAGAAGCAAGAACTGTCCTGTTGAAGGAAGGTTAACAGCAGTGGAGACAATCCTGTTTAAGGTCCAGCTCTCCCACCCTCTGGGGAGGCTTTATCCTAAGTTTTCCTTTAAAAGACAAGGCTTTACTATGTAGCCCAGGCTGACCTCCAGCTCATAATCCCCCTGCTCCAGCCTCTCTAGTGTTGGGATGGCAGGTATGTGCCAACACACTTGGCTTCTTTTTCATTTTTGGTCCCGAGATCCTCCCCCACAAATGAGGATGTTGGCGCCCCTCAGAAGAGGCTGTGAGCAGCCATGAGGTTAATTTGCCTGAATAAGGATGTGGGCAACAGGAAGTGTTAACCAGACTCAGAAAAGAAATTCACTAAAGAAATGGAAACTGTGTAAGGTTGAGAGACTATAAAAAGATAAATTTGGGTTGGTAACACAAGTTAAAATAAAAAGTGAATTAGGTACAACACTTTTCTCACCAAGATAGGATACTGGAGTATTTTCTTTGAATTTGTCAAATGCAAATGGACTAGCCATTGTTGATGTACTTATTGCCTGTATATACTGTATATAGTTATTGTACTTATTGTATATAGTTTCCTTATATTAAACCTTTTTTTATTTTAGACAAAAAGGGGGAAATGTAGTGATATTTTGTTTGTGCTTTAACAAATAAAGCTCACCTGAAGATCAGAGTGTGGAGCTAGCCACACTAGTTAGCCACGGAGGCCAGGCAGTGGTGGCGCACACCTTTTACCCCAGCACTTGGGAGACAGAGGCAGACGGATCTCTGTGAGTTCAAGGCCACCCTGGGCTATGTGAGATTGAATTAGTCTAAGAGAGAAACAGAGCCAAACAGTGTGGCTCAGACCTTTAATCCCAGCATAGGGAGGGGAGACAGGAGTGATACGGCGGGCAGGGAGAGGTATATAAGGAGGGAGGGGATGGGAGCTCAGGATTCAGTCTGAGGACTGGTAGCGGCAGGACACCCCATTCAGTCTGAGGATTTCGTAGAGGTAAGAACTCGTGGCTGCTGCTCCGCTTCTCTATCTTTCAGCTTTCACCCCCCACTATCCGAGCCCAGGTTTTTATGTAATGGACTAACTAGAATTCACACAACAAGAAGTTGGAGCTGTGGGAGCTGAGGGGTGAGCAGTGGGGGTCTAGCTCTGTTCCGTCCACTGCAAGTAGCCATGAGCCTCATGTGGTTTTCTTCATCACCCTTCAAAGACAGCTCTTCAGCCCCACCAGCCACAGGCTAAATGTCCATGGTGGCAGCGCAACAGGGAACACCCAATAGCACAGAGTTCCACAGACAGCAGAACTCCTGGGGTTCTGAATGGGGAACCCAGAAACGTGGAGACTCCTCCAAAGTCCCCCTGTGCAACCATCTCAGTGTTGTCTGTCTCCATCTGCTGGGGCTCGGCTCTGGGTGCACGGGCTCTTCCCTTGGCCTCCCCTGCCGGCTGCCCCAGGCTTTTCTTAGCTACAACCATCTCCTCACTCACAATGCTCAGCTGTCTTCAGCACACGGCTCCAAACATCATGTCCCACGCTGGACTATTCCCTCACCGCCACCTGACCAGCGCACTGCACCCCACCTCCTCCTCCTCCTCCTCCTCCTCAGTTATGCTCCGGCCCACCCTTTCCACCTTTCCACGCCTGGATCAGAACTGTCCATCCAGCTCCTGGGGAGCTCTGGGCCCTGGGGGACTCAACTTGCCCTCCCTTTGGTTCACACCGAGTTGCTCAGCTAACACTCTGAAGCGGTTTTATGTAACATGGTTCATTTCTCCCATGGCTGGGTGCTTGCTGGAGAAGGGACCTTCCAACTGTGGCTGACATCTTCTGAAGCAAACTGGCCTGAGGCACAGAGCAGGAAACAGGGCTCCAAATCGTACCCTGCTCCTCCTCCTCTGTCAGTTCTTCAAAGCGCCTCAACATACCTGGCGGCCCAGAATGTGTCCTTGCAGGGACCTCTGTGGCACACATGGCCAGCCTCAGCTTTGGTCCATCCTCTTAGGGCACAGCTGTTTACCAGCTGCAAGCCAAGTGATGCTCTTGGGCGTGGGTTGGTTTAGACTGCTGGTTCTTGGCTCAGGCTGTACACTGGAATCTGAGGACCTCTAAAGTCCCAGGGGTGTCTAGACCCAAAAAATCAGGACCTCCTGGACAGGTCTGGGGATATCTTTTTCAACTCATGTAAATACATGATTTGCCTGAGCTGGGAGACACTGCCAGAGGAGCACCGTGACAGACCGACTAAAGGTTCTAGACTGACACTGTAGCAGTGCAGGTTCTAGACCAACACGGTGGTAGCCACAGTGCAGGCTCTAGACTGATACTGCTTTGATACTACTGCAGTAGTCCCGGTGCAGGTTTCTAGACTGGCGCTGTAGCGAGCCCAGTGCAGGCTCTAGACTGACACCTTAGTGGCCCCAGCATCAGGTTCTAGAACAGCGCTGTAGCAGGCCCCGTGCAAGTTCTAGACTGACACTGTGGTGGCGGTGACACAGGTTCTAGACTGACGCCGCAGCAGTTCCAGTGCAGGCTCTAGACCAATACTGTGCCGGTTCCCGTGCAGGTTCTAGACTGGTGCTGTGGCTGTCCTGGTGCGGGCTCTAGACTGATGCTGTGACAGTCCCTGTGCAGGTTCTAGACTGGTACTGTGGCTACGCTAGTGCAGGTT